TGGGATACCGAAAGCAGAGAAGCACTGCCTGATGGGAAATCTCTGCTCCAGATGCTAATGAACCCAGGCCTGCTCACACCCAAATTAGTCATCATCAGAAGGTGGAGAGGGGGTGCTACTATTGACATCCAAAATACTGAAATTGCCTAGTTGCATTGCGAACTGGTCAAAGATCATCACCCATAACAAGGTATGATCAGTCTCTTGTCTCGCCTCTGTTTACCCATAAACAAATCCAGTGTTCTCTTCCAACTATTGTCCTATCCCAGTGGTCCCCAACCTTTTGGGGCTGCCGGGCATCCGGGGGCGGGGCCACTCACGCGCCGGGCACCCGGGAGCGGGGCCGCCCATGCACCCTGGGGTGGGGCCCCGCCCGCGGGCAGGACCACCCATACGCCACGTGCCCGGTGCCGGCGCCACCCATGCACCGCACTCCTGGGGCTGGTGCCGCTCCCGCTGGGAAATTATCTATTGCAGTGGTCCCCGACCTTTTGGGGCTGCCAGGCGCCCGGGGGCAGGGCCACTCATGTGCCGGGCACCCGGAGGCAGAGCTGCGCACACGCCTGGGGGCAGGGCCGCGCACACGCCCGGGGGCAGGGCCACCCATACACCGCGTGCCCGGGGCCGGTGCCACCCATGCACCGCACTCCCGGGGCTGGGGCTGCTCCTGTGCCGCATGCCATGGGGTGGGGCTGCCCATACACCATGCGCCCGGGACCAGCACCGCACCTGTGCCGTGCGCCATGGGGGCGGGGCCACCCATACGCCACTCGCCCAGGGCCGGCACAGCCCTTGTGCCATGCACCCGGGGGCTGGGTCAGCCCCCGATCACTTGGCATGCGCACAGAAATGGCCTGGTGGGCACCATGGTGCCCGCGGGCACTGTCCTGGGGACCACTGTCCTATCCCTATAAAAACTCCTACCTTTGCCCAAGAAAAACTGTTCTGATACCTGGATTTAAACTGCATCAATTCCCATTGAGACTCCTTCATCTCCTGTCTGATTGTGCTGGGGGCTCCGTTCTGCTTGTCTTCTACCTTCTGGACCCCCCCATCACCATCTGGAAACCCCGATCAGTGCAAGCTCCAGAGTGGTGAGGTCTCTCTCTCTCTCCCTCCCTCCCCCCAACTATCTCTCTCTAAGCATAGCCTCCTGATTCTGCCATATGTAAACTGTTATATGATTAGCTAGCCCTAAAATTTGTAATCAGTTTCAATTTAGATTCAATATTGTAACTGGTGTGTCTGTGTCTGTGTGTGTGCACGTGCACATATATATATATTCTCACTACCCAGAAATAAATAACTTTCATTGTTAAGCTGGTTGCTTCTCTCTTTCTTTCTCTTTCGCTCACTCTTCCTCAGAGGGTGTTGTTTTGACTTCCCCATTCGCTCTGCAACAACGCTTCTTGTACCCAAGCAAAAGATCCCTGTAGTGCCCAAAATCCTGTGGGGTTTGCTCATCGTGTGGTTTACCTGTGGGGTGAAAGTGGGGATAGGGAGGTGCTGAACTTGGGGGCTTATGAGGATGGCAACTTAAAGTGCTGTTCCGTCCAGCCCATTGAGTTCAAAGACACATGAGGGTGCAGTGTGGCACTGCTGTTAAATAAAGCCTGCTGAGTCCAGGGACATATGAGGGGTCAGCTTGTGAGTGCTGATTACCCAGTCCTCTCAGACATGCTCTGTTACTGGGTGTGAGTGTCTGTGTGTATGCTGCTAAAGTGGGAAGAACCCTATCCTGAGGAACCTAGTTCCTGCAGAAGAGCTCTATTGGGGAGGGGGGGGAGGGATTGGCAGCAGGGAGAATTCAGCTCCATATGAGAGCACAAGTAAACACAAGCAGCACACTGATAGAATTGTTAACCTCCCCCCAACCCCGTAAGAGTAACCCTAATAAATGAGCATACCGCAGAGTACTGGGCAAATCTGGTAACAGAAATGAATTGTTTTTCCCTATGCAAATGAAATTGACTCTCAGTTTGCTAGCTAATAGTGAAGTCAGAAGCAGTGTAAGCAAGGAACATCTTGCTTAAAATGGTGAAAGGGGAGAAATACGTGACAAAGCTCCAAGATAAATAGTCTATATATCATCAACATGTATCACTGTCACTTTAAACATTTCTGCATCTGATACATTTCTATTCTAAGCATATATCTGTGTGACTTGAATTCAGTTACTCCAGACTAGACAAAAAGCAAATTCAGCTGTCACTTGTGTGTGAAAAAAGAGGTCACCAATAACCATATGCTAATTAAGAAACATGGAGTTTCTCCTTAACTGATTCTCAATCACTACACATCATAGTCTAGGACACAATGCAAATTGTTGCAGAATTTAAATAAAAAGCTATAGCAATATATTTGAGGGTGTTAAGTAATAATACATATAAAAAAAACAACAAAATGTCTGGTAGCACTTTCTAGACTAACAAAACATGTAGACTTATCATTAAGACAAACTTACTAGTGCCTCTAACATCTTTTAAATAAATAAAACCACTGCATCAATAGGTGTGCCTACTCTGCAATTAAGATAACCACACAGCTAGGCTGCACTCTCAGGACTAGGGCTGCAGAGCAGTTTAATTGCATGTAGAGGTTACAGCTCAGACTGCAGTCCCAAGCTCAAGGATCTTCCCACTTCACAGGGTCTTAGAGCCTGGGCTGCAGTCCAAGATCAGATACCTACATTGCAATTAAACAGCCCCACAGCTTGAGCCCTGCAAGCTGGCACAGGCCAGAGACAGATTTTTAACTGAAGTCTCCTCAAATTCTAATGAGTTAAAGAGTGCTGCCTTTTTAAAATAAGACACAATCGGAGGAAACATCTACCTCTTGAGGTTAACTCAAACTTTTTAATTTTGTCACAATGCCTTGTACTGCATGATGTATATTTTTTAACTCTTTAATAATGAGCAAATGCTGATATTTACATTTTCTCAAATGGAAGCATTTTCAGTTTCATGTGTGTAGAAAAACTTCTGCCTTCATTACGTTTGGGTTCAGTTTAAATAGCAGGTGCAAAAATAATATTTTCTTCATTTGCAGTAATTTGTTCAAATTAAGATTCTGACTGGGTGTTGAAAAAGCAGGAAATGTGGTTTTCTCTTCCAAGCTATAAATAATAATAATAATAATAATAATCAAGTGGGAGAGAATGAGATCTACTCAGTTTAAAAACTTGAGGAACAGGGTTTTTACAATTTATTTAGGTATTTAAAGATGCAGATAGGCACCTGATGGGGTTTTCAAATGTACCCAAGCAAAGATTAGCCACCTAATTCCCATTGATTTCAACTGCCCTTGATTTCAAGAGCAGGGAAGTTAGGTGCCTAATCTGTATTGGAGCTTTTTATAGAACCATGCAATACTAGAACTAGAAGGGACCTTCAGAGATCATCAGGTCCAGTCCCCTGCCCTCATGGCAGGACCAAGCATGGTCTATATCATCCCTAATAGATGTCTGTCTAACCTGCTCTTAAATATCTCCAGTGATGGAGATTCCACAATCTCCCTAGGCAATTTATTCCAGTGTTTAACCACTCTGACCATTAGGAAGTTTTTCCTAATGTCCAACCTAAACCTCCCTTTCTGCAGTTTAAGCCCATTGCTTCTTGTCCTATCATCAGAGGCCAAGGAGAACAATTTCTCCCCCTCCTGCCTGTGACACCCTTTTAGATACCTGAAAACCGCTATTATGTCCCCCCTCAGTCTTTTCTTTTCCAAACTAAACAAGCCCAATTCTTTCAGCCTTGCCTCATAGCTCATATTTTTCTAGACCTTTAATCATTTTTGTTGCTCTTATCTGGAACTTCTCCAATTTTTGGTCAGCTTTCTTGAAATGTGGTGCCCAGAACTGGACATAGTACTCCAATTGAGGCCTAATCAGTGCAGAGTAGAGCAGAAGAATGGCTTCTCGTGTCTTGCTCACAACACTCCTGTTAAGGCATCCCAGAATCATGTTTGCTTTTTTTGCAACAGTGTCACACTGTTAGCTTGTGGTCCACTATGACCCCTAGATCCCTTTCTGCATGTATTCCTACTTAAGTGGGGTACTTTGCATTTGTCCTTATTAAATTTCATCCTATTTACCTCAAATCATTTCTCTCGTTTGTCCAGATCATTTTGAATTATGACCCCCATCCTCCAAAGCAGTTGCAACCCCTCCCAGCTTGGTATCATCTGCAAACTTAATAAGTGTACACTTGTTGCCATCATTTAAATCGTTGATGAACATATTGGACAGAACCCATCCCAAAACAGACCCCTGTGTAGCCCCTCTTGTTATGTCCTTCCAGCATACCTATATTTATGGAGATATACCTATCTCATAGAGCTGGAAGGGACTTTGAGAGGTCATTGAGTCCAGTCCCTTGCCCTCACAGCAGGACCAGGTACCATACCTGCCAGATTTCCCCCAATCGCTAAATGGCCCCCTCAAGAACTGAACTCACAACCCTGTTTACAGGCCAATGCTCAAATCACTGAGCTATCACTCCCCCTATAAGTTCATGATTGAACTTTTGAAAAATTCCACTAGGCACTAGTTTGCATCTTTAGCAGCCACCAAAATAGTTAATTAATTAACTAAGCTTAATATTTCCTTTGCTTGGGGAATCCGTTTTAAATGCAAAACACATTCAATAAGCTTTTTTCCCCTTGAGTATTCAGCATATTTAAAGTGTTTGATTTAACTAACAGAAAGTTTTAAAATGCAGTTTTTGTACATTGTTAAACTATTTCTCGTTTTCTTCTGAATGTATCTTGACACAAATCCCAAGTAAAAAATTATCTACACAATGAACCTCTCTAGTCTGACACCCTTGGGACCTGACTGGTGCTGAACCAGACAATTTGCCAAACCATGGGAGGTTACTGTTGTCTAGCAGCATTACCAACACTTCCACTGCCTGCTGAGATAGAAGACATTTAGGGGCACCCTAACCTACCACAAACTAAGTCGTTGCATTCCAGATTTGTCCACCTCAGGCCTGCCAACAGAGGAGTGGGCAAAAGGGGCAACTGCCCCAGGGCCCGGAGATTCAAAAACCCCAAGGCTCCAGCCACCACCACTGCTGCAGTAACAGCAACAGTGGCTGGATCCCTGAGGGCTGGGAGGAGCAGCATTGTGCTCATGGTTGCACTGAGGGCTTTGGGGGAGAGGGGAGTGGCATTGTACACTTGCTGCCTCAGCCCCATCCCTCTTGCTCGAGACCACTTCTCTTCCACGAGTCAGAGCAGTCCTTCACACTTTGCCCAGGGTCCTTTGGGGGCTGTCTGCTCTCCTGATCCACCTCAATGGTCCCTTCCTTTGGAACCTACTGTAGCCCTCTTCTTTTACTAAGGAACTACTCCCACCTCTCAATCTACTCTGTGTTGCAGAGGTATTGAATTAGTCTAGAACCTGAGTTCCCTGCTTCCAACTTCTATATTGTTAAAGCAGAAGACATTCAACCATTTCCTCATCTCAATGCCCTACTTTGGTAGTATTGTCAATAAAGGCCCTACACCATATTGCACACATTCTTTTTGTGTTTTTTAAGCACAGAAAAATATTAGTAAAGTCTATTTAACAAAGCACCATAACACTGATCAAAGGAAAGTCAAAGCTAGTATTACTAGGATTCCAGAAGACTAGGCAAATGTATTCTTATTAAGCATTAAGAAAGCTATCTAGAAATAGCAGGAAACCTCATTTTCCACAATGGTGGCATTAGATAAGAGATGAGCTCTCTATGTCCCACTATCCAAGCTCAAGATTCTCATGCAGAATCATTAAATATGTAACAAGCAATTGGCAAGGGAGGATGGCCTACATATACCATTCCGTCTTGTTTTCCTCTCTCTTTTTATGGCTTTTATATTAAGTTTGTTCTAATTTCCATTGCATTCAAATACCATCGTGATGGATGCAAATTTAGTATGTGTCAATAACTGATATTTCATAAAGAGTAGAAAATAGTGAGATTTATTATGGAAAAATACATTCTGAACATTTAAGAGGCAATGAATTGGTTTAAAAGGGAATGCCTTTGGTTAAGATAGCCCTCCAGGACTGAGTGTCAGGAAGTGGAATAGAAAGCAAATGGCATGCGGCCAATCAGCCGCTGTGTCAATAAACCGTTTGTTAAATATATGAAAAAGGAAAATAGGGATCACCCTCCACTTATTACTTCTCAGCACCCCCAATTAGTTTAACAAGGAATATGGTCATAAAAGTGAACATTAAATCATACCATTTGCATATATACTACATAATGACAACTTCTTGGATGAGTTTGATCTGCTAAGCCTAGGGAATTACCAACTTTTTATTTGCAGAAAACTGAATACCTTTGCCACACCCTCTTCTCTGAAATCGTGCCCAGACTCACTCCATTCCCCCATCCCTCCATTGCTCGCTCTCCCTTACCTTCACTCACTCGCACATTTTTACCAGGCTGGGGTAGGGGATGGGTGAAGGACGGAGTATGTGCTCCAGAGTGGAAGTAAAAATGGGGGGCTCAGGGTATACAAGAGGACTCAGGATAGGCGAAAAGGGTTGCAATATAGGGGTTGGGCTCTAGGTGGCGCCACATCCTTGTGACAGGGGTGGCCAGGGAGGCTCCCTCAGCTATGGCTCCACAGCACAAGTGCTTGGAGGAAGTGTGCAGAGCCTCCCTGCCCACCCCTGCCATAGGGACATGTTGCTGCTTCCCAAGAGATGCTTGAGATGAATGCCAGCTGGAGCCCATACCTGAACCTCCCACACTCCAGTCTGCCTGGGACTGACTGGACTTTTAATGGCCTGGTTAGTGGTGTGGACCAGACACTAAGGTCCCTCTTTGACCATCTGTTCTGGTCAAAACACATATACCTGGCAACCTTAGATCAGCCAGATCTACCAAAGTAAAGAAAAATTTATAACTCATAAGGATTTGAGGGAAAACACAAGAGTGGGATATACACAGATGAATGTGTCACTCAAGCTATCTTGCCAAAAAGTCAGAGCACAGCTATTTAGAAAGATAATATATGATACTAACTACAGCTAATAAATTGCCCAGCTAAACTGAGCAACTGAGATTAATTATGATGGTTCAAGCCATTCCTTCATGTTAGTATGGCTTTCTCCTAATAGACTAGTGAAGTCTTAAGACTGTTTTGGTAAATTCTTATTAGCTGCTTCAAAGAGAGGAACCAACTCTTAAAGATGGAATGGTTCTGAATCCACTTGTATGTCTTTTTCCTTAAGATACACATTACCCGTTTCTTTCCTAGAAGGTATGTTATCTATGGGGAATAGTGATAGAAATGTAGCCGTGTTAGTCTGGGGTAGTTGAAGCAAAATGCAGGACAATATAGCACTTTAAAGACCATCTTGTTAGTCTTTAAAGTGCTATATTGTCCTGCATTTTGTTATCTATGGGGTTTCAGTCAGGCTGACACACTGGGGGACATCTAAGGAAGAGATTATGGAAGTGCAGGAGACAGTAGTGACAGCTTACTAGCATCTCACTTATTGTGTTTGCAAATGTACTCAGGGTAGATCAGTTTACTTACGCTTGACCTCAGACTGCCTAATTTATTCTATGTATATAGAATATCGCAAAGTTACCTGCTGAAAATCACTTTTACGTTTTAACCTTTCAAAACCAGGAAAAACAAAAACTGTATATTACTTGAGTAGCCACAGAGCTGAAATGTGTTAATTTAGTGGCCAAAATGACAAAGTTACCTGCTCAAAATCACTTTTACATTTTAACCTTTCAAAACCAGGCAAAACAAAAACTGTATATTACTTGAGTAGCCACAGAGCTGAAATGTGTTAATTTAGTGGCCAAAATGAGCAGTGAGACATCTTTACATATCTGTTAACTTGTTATAATTTAGAAAGGCTACAATTTCCTATTTACATGTCACAGAGCCTTATGAAGCCTCAAGGGGGGGTTCATTATTTAATGATTAAGAGAAGTCTTAATTTAGAAAGGCTACAATTTC